AGTTGCGCACAGCAATGTTCCACAAGCCGTCATGCACGGCGTGACCACATTTTGTTTAAGGAAAAGCGATCTGCCAATCGACTAACAACTGGGTTCCTACTTCCTGTTAGATGAACCAAGGTATGTGCAGTAAGGAAAGCTACCTAAGGTTCCGGGAATGGGCCGAATGCTCTAACCACTGAGCTACAGGACTCCATTATAGCTCAAATGCTTTAATCGTTCCCTATTAAAGGCACTGCCTGCCGCAGCACTGGAACTCTTCAGGCAAAGAGCAGGTTTCGACCTCTGGGCTCTTCGTAAGACTTTGTATGTTAGGAGTTTTTAGGGTTGGGGCAGTTCTTCTGTTCTTAAATTCTGGCGTTTGGCCGAATACTGACACCAACTGGTGGCCCTGCTACGCAGGACCTTGGAATGTAAAATTCCAGGCCATTGAACAGGTTATTTCAGGACCTGAGGCTGTCTGAAAAAAACCTACTGAGAGTTAATAACTCTCATTTACCCCCATGTCCTTCTGAGATCCAAACCCAGATTTATTTGAAATGTAATTGGGTCATTGCTTTTCTCCTGGCAAGATCACCAGTCACAATCTATTTGCGTGTCACAAGATCGCAAGAGAGATTTGTAGGTGTAGAAAGCCTTTCGATCCATTTGCTCTTGTGTTTCCGAAATAACCACCCAACTCTTACCATCGTAGTCGATGAACTTTATGTGGGTTCAATAACTCTTTTTCAAGAAAACAATGGATTGTCCACAACAATCTAGGGCAGTGGCTTATCAATTTGGCCATCGGTAAAATATTACAGGCTTGCCCTTCGCTGTGTGAGTCATAACCCTCATGGCCGAGGTGGACAATGGACAAATATTTTGTACTGGCAAAAGCTCCAAAGTTCGCATTGTATTCCATAAATGCACTTCCCTGCCCCACGCATTCCAGGGTCACACCTATCTTTCCAGGCAACTTGATGTACTTTCCCAGAAAGTTCTGGCTTTGTTGCCGTGTTTTCTCTCCGCTGCCCTCAGAGATGTTGGAAACAACACAGCGCCCTTCATGCGGGGTAGAGTCCCGGAGCGCTTGACAGTGGCGGAGTCTGATCCTGAGGGAAGGGGGAGGTGACCATAATAAACGTGGTCAAAAAAGAAGGTCTTTAAGCAAAATTCGAAGGTGGGATGGAGGGGACAAGGCGGAGGACTTGAGGGAGAGAGTTCTGGAGCTTCGGAGCGCAGCGGATGAAGGCACGGCTACCGTTGGTGGAGCGGAGGGCACGAGCGACAGTTTGAAGGCTGGAGCCAACTAAGCAGAGGCAGTGGGTGGTGGAATAGGGGGGTGGGTAAGTGGGATGGGGGAGGTGCGAGGGTATGAAGAGATTTGAAAACGAGTGAGAGGATCTTGAAATCGATCCGTTCGGTGATTGGGAGCCAGTGGAGCCCGGCGAGGTCCGGTGTGATGGAAAAGATCCATAAGGAAAATGGCAGTGTCCAACTGCGATGCTGTCCTGCTTGCTGGGTGTTGTTATGAATTCTTCTTGCTGAAAAATCGCATTCTTTGTCCTGAATGTTGCAGCACCAGACTCGCGATCAAATAATAATACTAATCATAATCCTTGCGTTTGGTACAGCACCTTTCAAGTCAGGAGGACACGTCAAAGAGCTTCAGATTTGTGAAACGAAATGTTGTGATTGTATTTGTAGGCGAACATGGCAGCCTATTTGCCCATTTTTATTTGGGGGATTGGGCCAGGGACACCGGGAGAAACTCCCTAGGCACACGGGATCTTTGACATTCACCTCCTGATCAAGGCAGGCGGGGCCTCAATTTAATATCTCGTCTGAACAGCGGCACCTCCAACAATACAGCTCACACACCACTCCATGGGAGCGTCAGCATAGACTGCCAGTTCCAAGTTCTGACACGAGGCTTGATCCTTCTCTCAATAATCAACAAAAGCGTCAACACTTTTCCTCATTTTCCTGTTTGTATCCTGAACCCTGATTTATTTTTTGGCATTTAGTTGACTCGGTGCCCAAATCGTCAGTGCATTTACTCGTTTGAATTTTAATGATTGTACAAAAAATGATTTGCACTTAAACGTTCCCTTTCATTTAGGTTAATAACTCAAAGAGCATTACAGAGAAGATGTGGGTCACTAAGCTGGGGTGAGGGTACTGACTGTGAACATAATTGCAGAGAGTGAAAGAGATTTTTAAGGTAGGCAAAGGAGTGAGGCAAAGGGATTTTGAGAGAGTGTTTCAGAGATTAGGGGCTTGCTTCTGACGGTAGGACTGTATCTACTGGAATCTTGACTTTGCTGTTTCACTAGAGAAGTGTGCAGACCACACTCTCCAGTACAACATGTTTACGATCACAGTGATTCATGATTGTTGGATGGAAGATGACGAGGAAATCTCGCGTCAATCTTTCTGTACTGGAACACAGGCTAAAGGACAGCAATGGAGAAAGACATAGGATAAGTGCCCTTTTATGCATGACAACGAAGGTCTGCGCTGGCTCTTTTTAAAAAATAATTTATGTCTTATCACGTCTTCGAGATGTCTCAAAGCACTTCATTGCAAAGTGGATTGACTGCGCGTTTAGCGGGCAAAATGTGGCAGCCAATTGCCACAGCAGTGCCCCATAAACAGTCATGGATTGAGTGACCCATTTTTTGAGTGACCCATGGATTGAGTGACCCATTTTTTTTGGAGGAGTCAATACCCCTGGAAAACGATTTGCCAGTCAACTAACAACTGCCGTCAACCGGGCCGTCTACTTTCGAGACGAGTGCTCTAACCACTGAGCTACAGGCCTTTTAAAGCACTGTCCATTTCCCTGCCCTGTGGTTCATTTCTAGTTAGATATCTATCTAGGTCCCTTTTTAAAGCTAATATAGATTCTGCTTCGAGCACTGCTCCTAACTACTCTGTGCATTAAATAAAATTCCCCTAATCTCCCTGTTTGCTTGTTTGCTAGCTAGCTAACAAGCGAAAGGACCTGGGTTTGATTCCCGGGCGGGGCGAAACATTGGGCAAGTTTCCTTACTCCACACACGCACCTCTGTTTACCTAACAGTAAGTAGGAACCCGGTTGTTAGTCGATTGTCAGATCACTTTTCCGGAGGTAATAATCCCTTCCAAATATAATAATAATAATTTGGTCACTCATTCCACGACTGTTTGTGGAACGCTGCTGTGTGCGCAATTCGCACCCACAAAATAAACAGCCCATTCGCTTTACAATATATTTGAGACGTCTTGAAGACATGAAAAGGCCCTATATGAAACGCACCGCCCAATATTGAATACAAGTTTGTTTGCTTTTAGATCATCATTGCTTCGTCAATTCAGTCATTAATTTAGATATCGACCTTGCTTTGAGGTGGTCTCGAAAATACTTTTCTCTAGTTGCTATTTTAGAGTAACATGGCTTCAAATTCATGCAATTAATCCAATTAACTGCATTCAGAAGTCACTGGACGCAAATTAACTGGCATATTTGACTGCAAAACAACATTTAATTCATTTCTAATTCATTTTGTACAGCACTGAGAGGTTTATTTTGCATGACAGGCACTTTATAAATGTAAGTTATCACACTGCTATGTGTAATTGCACCTCTGTAAATCAAGATCCCAGCTTAATTCATGCTCTGTGATGAGAATCCATCCCGTTTCTCTTGCTTTATGCACTTAATCACAATGATTGTAGTATTTGGATATCTTAACTGCAAATCTCTCCCACCGATTGAGGGCACAGGCGGTTCTAGGGATCAGATAAACCTCCCAATTAAGGATGGAGGGAGCGATGTGCCCAACCCCAGCCAGGCCTATCAACGACAACAACGTTCTCTTGTATTGCTGCCTCCTCACAGCATCTCAGAGCACGTAACAGTGGGGGAGCCTGGACTCTGCGCTGGGAGTGGGGGTGAGATGGGAGGCTGGCCGCAAGCACATTGACTGTATATTTGTGGGCGAACGCGGCGGCCAATTGCGCACAGCAATGTCCCACAAACAGTCATAGATTGAAAATGACCAATTTATTACTGTTTTTGGTTTTGGAGGATTATTATTAGGCTCTGTGTGGGGTAAGGAAACTTGCCCGAGGTTTCGCCCTCTGCCTGGGATTGAACTCAGGTCTCTCATTTGCGAAGCGAGTGCTCTAACCACTGAGCTCTCAGCCTTGATACCCGAGGTCCAAAACGTCCACCGAAGATCATTTTGTCTCCCACTTTAAGATTGCGTAAAATCCTTCAATTCAGTCGTCATTTGGAAGCTAATTTACTCAACTTTGTTCCATTCTTAAATGGCGAGTTGATATAAATTGATACAAGTGCTGTAGCTCAGTGGTTAGAGTATACTCAAGCAAGAGACCTGGGTTCGATTCCCGGACGGACAAAACATTAGTCAAGTTTCCTTATTCCAAACACCTCTGTTTGCCTAACAGTAAAGAGGAACCTGGTTATTAATCGATTGATGGATCGCTTTCCGGGGGTGATAATCCTTTCAAAAAAAAATAATAATTTGGTCACTCAATCCGTTTGTGGGACAATGATGTACACAATTGGCTGCCGCGTTTCGCCCATAAATGGCGCTTTATCAAATGTAAGGAGTATTAGTATTTTTATTATCTACGCGTACGCAGTGAAAGATTCGACACGGCAACAAACAAAGCAGAGTACTTGTGATGTGCGGTGGAGAGCAAATGAGCTCTGTGATTGGCGCGAGGACTATTACATACAGAGGTGAGGGGCTACTGCGGTTCACACCAATATCAGAGTCACAGAAACGTAGGAACAGGAGAAGGCCATTCAGCCCCTCAAGCCTGTTCCGCCATTCTATAAGATCATGGAGAGTGTATAAGATACAGCTGCTGACGGGGTGAATTTTATTTTCAAATAATGTGGTTTCCAATCTGTCCTGTCGTGGACGAGTGAGGACTGAGTTGTGGTATTGTGCACTTTCACAGAGAATATGAATAACCTGCCCTCTATTCTGCTCTCTTTCCAGGAAGCCCACACTCTGCTCATCACCGGCAAATCAACTGGAGGAATGGCTGCAGATAGGTAGTGCAATTACAAACCTTTTTCATCTCTTTTCTCTACATATTTTAGATCGTGAAACATGTGGGGTGGATCATTGCATTTGATGTGAATTCTCCCAGGAAGGGGCTGTGTGTTATGCAATCTACTTTGCAGCTCTGAAAATAGATTGAGTTGGAGCAAGTCGGGAACTCTGCTTTTCTTACTTAAGAAACAGGACTGAATTATAAGCACTTCCTGGGTGTTAGACCTGATTGGGTGGGTGGTGAGGTGTGGGGGGGGGTAAGTTGGGTCTCCGTGGAACTGAACTGGCTTCATGGTGACGTAATTGGCAACGAAATGTCGGGATCGAGCCAGCCCTCTGGGTCTCTGGTCCTGTTCCTGAGCCAGACACTGCTCATGAACGGGACACTGCTGATTCCAGGGCACTGCTGATGACAGCACAGTCAGGAAAGGGGGACGTTGAGAAAGCACACTCGAGAGAGGTTTGTGAAACAGAGAGGGCGAGAGGTCGACGGATTTTGGGAGGAAGATTAGAGTGTCTGACAGAACCTGTGGACGTGCAACAGGCCCAATTTTGCAGACCAAAGGAGGCAGAATGAGGTGGTGGTAAGTTGTTTTGATTAGCTGGGTGTCGAGGATTACGACAATAATATAATATTCCTTGCATTTGATTCAGCGCATTATCACGTCTTCGAGACGTCTCAAAGCGCTTCACAGAATATACTGTCAAGTGAATTGTGCTGTATATTTGTGGGCGAAACGATGAGCTTTACAGTGTCCAAACATAGTCCAAACTAACTAGACTGAGAGTCTCAGATCTGCATGGGTCTGCATGGAAATTTCCACGTCTGGAATGGAATGTGCACTCTCTGCAGAGGGACCTGCCCTGTTTACCTAACTCTGGAAACTATGCAGCGCTGTGGACCCACGTGGAACTGATTACTGATTACTGAGAATGAAGGTTGACTTGATTCCGACATTCAGTTCCGAGCATGTAACCTTCAGTGCTGTTTGTGGTTCCACGCTCTCCTGGCACTTCACTCACTCAGCAAACAAACGGTTTGCTTCATCCCCTGTCTTGGAGACCCTCTGCATTGCCCTCTCCCTCTGGCCTTCAATACCCGCTTTTATGCTCCAGCCTCCTCGTTGTCCCTTTTTCCCTCTGCTCCACCATCGGTGGCCTTCAGCCACTATGCCCCGAAACTCTGTCACACTCTCCCTCAATCCCATCACCTTAACCCCCTTCCCTCCCTACCTCCCGGCTTTCAAATCCTGCCTAAAGACTTTCCTGTTTGATCGTGCTTACAGTCACCTCTGCTCTCCCTGGCTCGGGGTAGACACGCCCAGCACACTGCTCTGCATGAGGGGTGCTATACAGATACAAGTTGTTGGTGTTGTTATGGCCTGTTCGGCCTTGTTTTGGCCTGCCTTTTTTCACTCTTCCTTCTCTTCCCCCCACCGGCTCGGATTCCCAGTCAGCTATTGAGACATCCTCCTGATGTGAAAGGTGTTGGTTTAATGTAAATTGCTGTTGCGTGTGGGACAGCAATAAACTGCCGTGTGGTATCAAAGGGTCACACTGCACAAGGTAGAAACACATAAAAGTACACAGTCAGGAGCTCTTATCTTTCAAAGCATTTGAAACATAGACAAAGTGAAATCTGATCAACGTCTAAGCAGATGCTTCTATAATACAGTACCAGAAAGTAGTATATTTATCACTGTGTAGCAACACTGAAGCTACTGCAATGAATTAGCACAGGGCTGGATCCCTTTTGCTTTGACTCTTCACAGAAAATGGCACAATAGAGCATCAGTTGAGAGATTAGTCTGTTTACCTCAAGATAAATGCTGGTTAGAGTTGTGAATGTTCCTGGCATTAGTCTGCCTTAGTCTATCCGTTAGTCTATCAATTAGTGTAGTCCTGGTTAGAGCGCTCACCTCGCAAGCAAGAAGACCTGGGTTTGATTCCCAGGCATGGCAAAACATTTCCTAACTCCACATGCCTCTGTTAATCCAGCAGTATGTAGGAACCCGGTTGTTAGTCGATTGTCGGATCGCTTTTCCGGAGGGTAATAATCCCTTGAAAATAAATTGATTAATTAAATATTAATTTGGTCATTCAATCCATCACTGTTTGTGGGGACGCTGCTGTGCGCAATTGGCTGCCATGTTTTTCCCACAAAATACACGGTCACTGCACTTCACAGTCTATCCTGTGAAGCGCTTTGAGACATCTCGAAGACATGATCAGGCTTTGTATCAATTGCAAGGATTATTATTATAGATTATTGTATCCCCCACTGAGAGGCCGCAAGGAGTTATAAATGGGGTCTGACTTGCTTTACAGCTGACATTGACGATGAAGAGTTGAGTGACGTTGGTGCAATTCCAGACTTCTCTGTACGCAAACATCACATTGATTCAAAGCCCATAGACTTGACTCTTGCAACAGTAAGTCATCCTTTCAGGCGCTGAATAATGTTTGCTCTTCTTTTAACTGCTTTGTTAAATTATTGCTGGCTTTTTATTTTTTAAAGAAAATGATTGCATGTGCTCTCACAGAGGGCATGTATATAATGGGTTCAACACAGTACCAAATCCCAACTTCAGCTGCTCTTACTCCCCCAACGTTTCACTCCTTCCCTTCACAGTAATAATGATCATAATCCTTGCATTTGATACAACGCCTTATCGCGTCGTTGAGACGCCTCAAAGCGTTTCACAGAATGTACTGCAACGTGAATTGACTGTATACAGTTTTCGGTATCAGAACCGTCTACCACCTAAAGACTGAATGTAAGAATGAGGAATCCTGTGCCACAGAGATATCCGTGTCGTGGCATTTTGGGGGAATATTTTTTTTGCCAACGACATAATTTCTAGGAATTCTGCCCTAAAACCGGGATATGAGGCAAAACAACAACAACTTGGGTATACACAACACCCTTCACACGGGGGCAGCGTCTCAGAGCGCTTCACAGTGGGGAAGCCTGACGCCAAGCCGGGGTGGGAGGCAGGAGGACGGTTGAAGAGGAAGGTCTTCAGTCGTGATCTAGAGGAAGGAGGGGGCAAGGCGGAAGGATTGGGGGAGGGAGTTCCAAAGCTTCAGGGTGAATTGCGGGAGGAAGCACATCTGGGGATCAAATCTGACCCCCAGGTTACGTAGACCTTCGATAAGTCTTAGTCTTCAGGAAAGACCAGGGAGGGAGGTTGAGGAGGTCATAGGCACAGGAGAGAAGACGTGGAATGATGAATACTTCACCTTTGAATAAACTAACTTGTCACTTTGCTAATTGCGTTTGCAGGATCTGAAAAATCTCCTATTCGGTTCCAGCCTTTGCTGCTTCACTGAAGAATGGAAGATGCAAAGCTTCACTTTTAACGAGCTACCAAACTTAAAATACGGTCTGGTTCAAAAGAAGGTGAGGGGCTCTATCTTGTCAGTTTTTGCAATGTTTGAAAAACTTTATCCATAATAAATAGTAATAATCTTTACGTTTGGGATAACGCCTTTCACTTTGGGAAGACATCCCAAAGTGCATCACAGAATATACTTACTGTATCACGCAGTGACCATTTTGTGGGCGAACTAATTTGCACACGTCGTCGAGACGCCTCAAAACGTTTCACAGTATATACTGTAAAGCGAATTGACTGTACATTTTGTGGGCGAAATGCGGCAGCCAATTGCTCACAGTAGTATCCCACAAACAGTCGTGGATTGAGTGACCAAATTATTATTATCTTTATTTATTTATTTTTGAAGGGATTATTGCCCCCGGAAAAGTGATCTGCTAATCGACTAACATCTGTTAGTTCTCTCTGTTTATGTGTGTATAATAACTATGTTATTCCTACATAAAAAATTGCAATCTGAAGAGCCATGGGAGGTATTGGACAGGAATGACCCCTGATTTCAGGCTGCTCAAGGTAATGGTAAATCCACAGCCATTGTCAGTCATAGCCTTTTTGCTGTGCTAACGTGATGCGATAATCTTTCTGATGGATATATCTGATGGGTCTGTTTGCTTTAGTCATACATTTGTACGCTAAATGGGGCTTTGGCAGCATTGGAGTTGAGGTCGGAGTAATTTGTAGGATGTTTTGGGAAAAGGCATTAACTGTAACAGTTTGAGTTAATGTTCAGCTAATCACGTAAACCTTGGCCATTTTCCATCGCAAAGTCAGAAGTCAGATAATAATTTGGTCGTTCAGTCCTACGACTGTTCGTGGGCCACTGCCGTGCGCAATCGGCTGCCACATTTCACCCCCAAAATATATTCTCCCACAAAAAGCGCTAGATCAAATGCAAGGATTATTATTATTATTATTCAAATTCAGTGCTTCCCTCTTGTGCAAAGTGAGTCTGGGGGTGGGGGGAACTGAGTTTCTGGCTCTTGCCAAGTGAGCAAGTAAAAATTTGCTGAGATTTGAAGCTTTTTTGCACACCGTATTTGTCAGACTCGGTCACTGTGAAGGGCTCCAGGATTCTATCCCGCTTGAAGGGCACTTTATAAATGCAAGTTGCTGTATTTCTGCTGTAGAGTGATTCGGAGCAAGAGGCCTAATTTTTATACGAGCCATTCCTTATCACGTCTGCACTGTACTGATCGCCTGATTTCAGGCTTCCGGGTCCTGTGCTCACTTTGTTCTGAAAACCAGAACTGTTTGTTTTTCTAAGGTCTTCAAAACTATCTTAAAAATCTCTCTCTTTGATCGTGCCATTGGTCACTATGTTCAGACTGAGGGTGAGGGTCTTGAATTGGATCCTGGAGAGGGATTGATGTAGAGCGCGAAGTATTATGGAGTCCTGTAGCTCAGTGGTTAGAGCACTCACGAGAGGACCTGAGTGATTCCCAGCAGGGCGAAACATTCGTCAAGTTTCCTTACTCTACGTACACGCCTCTGTTTACCTCACGGTAAGGAGGAAGCAAGTTGTTAGTCAATTGATGGATCGCTTTTCTGGGTAATAATTCCTTTAAAAAAATTGGTCACTCAAACTACGACTGTTTTTGGCCCACAAAATATACAGTCAATTCACTTTACAGTATATTCTGTGAAGCGCTTTGAGACGTCTCGAAGACCTGATAAGGGGCTATATCAAATGCAAGGATTATTATTATTTTATTACTCTTATTATTGTCAGTTATTCTGTTTTCCACTGAATGAGTTCCTCCGTTTGTACAGCTGAGTTCACTCCAGGCTGAATGATCTAAAATATTGTTGGGGGTTGGTGTTATTTCAGGACTGACACTCTGGGTGCCTGGGTTCCCAGTTGATTCCTTTGATCATTCGGTGACAAATATCTGTTACTTGCTGATCAAAGGAACAGCTTGATGCAGCAAGACATGCCCAGGGATAGTAGCAGAGAGAGAGAGAGAGAGCCTGGCAAGCTGACAAAGAACAGGGTCCACTGAAACATTTATGAGCGAGCCTGTACCCTCCTATCCTGCTGTCGATGTCAAAGCATTATTGTGTGTTAAATCCACGACTGCTTGTTTGTGGGACACTGCCAATTACCTGCTGTGTTTCACCCACAACATACACAGTCAATCAATCCACTTCACAGAATATCCTGTGAAGACTTGGAGACTTCTCAACTACGTGATGAGGCGCTATGTCAAAAATAATGCAAGGATTATTGAATGTCTTACATGTGCTTCCCCCCTTTTCTTGTTGGCTTGGCTCTTGAGGCTAATCTGATGCAAAAAGTACCATGTGCGATCTTAAGAAAAATAGAGAAACAGAACGCAGCACGTCAGTCGCTAGCTGCACTTACAGACTTGCTTCCCCGACTGGCAATCTACAAGTCGCTTTGCTTGAATGATCTTCAGATCCTAAGGCCTCTGTTGCTTTATGGACTTGCATGGTACTCGGTCTCTCTGCCCCCACACTCTGGAACTCTATCCTGCAATCCCTCCTCCACCTCACCCCCTCTCTTGCGTATCTGGGATGAGAGTCAGTTGTTAGTCGATTGTTAGATCGCTTTTCCAGGGGTAATAATTCTTTTTCAAATACCTACCCTTTTGAAAGCTACTATCAAATCTTCTTCCAGCACCCTTTCAAATAGTACGTTCCAAACCATGAGAACTGTCTGGGTAAAAAAAATTCTCCTCGTCTCCCCTCTGATTCTTTGCCAATAATCTTAAATCTGTGTCACCTGACCCACCTGCCAAAGGAAACTTTCTCCCCTACTATATCAAAGCCCCTCATCATTTTGAACACCTATTAAATCTGCTCGAAGGAGAGCAATCCCAGTCTCTCTCATCTCTCCACATAATTGAAGTCCCTCATCTCTGGATTTTGATTTACAAGTTTGGAGTTTGATTCAGTTATTGAGCTTTGTAACAGGATTGGTATTTGCTGAACCGAGCTGTGTCCTGGTGTCAGTGTTCAATCTAATCTTCCCAGGGTGGTCCTTGCGGAGTTCTGGCTGTCATCCAGGCCAGCGTTTTACAGTACCTTCTGTTTGAGGACGTAAACAACAGCAGCATCGAAGCAAAGTGAGTATGAAGCCTTTGTTCGGGAATATTTGTTTGACGTCTCCAAATGCCCTGGCAACAACAACCCATGGATATGCACGCTCGCTATCGGGTGATTGAAATTCATTCAGGAGAGGGCACTGTAAAGTAAATCTTACCCTGTTGTGAGAAGATTTAGACGGCTTGGATCTATCACAAAGTGGATTCATCATCATTCAGTAACTAAGAATGATTCCCCCGCCCCTTCCCCACCCCCTCACCCCCAACTCTCCAGTACAGAATTATAGCTAATTTCAGTACCTCTATCGCTACCCAGGAGAGATTATTCCCAAGTAGACTCATTCAGCTTTTAAAGTGCCGATTCGGGCATAAGCATGGCCCCATTTACACTAATTGAATTGTGTGATGATGAGCTCCTTCGCAAATAAATGCCTGGCTCTCACACAGTTTTCAAAACCCACTTCCGCTCTTGTAAACTTTACGCTTTCCCTGCTGCGCTCTAACCTGCGATGGGGCACCAGCTCTGTGTCTGAGTTTTTACAATGGAGAATACCTCCCATTTGCTCTATCCCACCCTTCGTTCGAGATCTGTCTCGAGACCTATCTCGTTGACCGCGCTTTCAGTCATTCCCCTCCCTGCTCTAGCTGAGGTGTCTAGGTATCTTGGGACGTGCTCCCGACGTGAAAGGTGCAATGTAAATTTGTGTTGTACTTTCTTTTATCAAAAAAAAGGACTATTGCCTTTCTAACCCCTCTCTATAGACAACTACAGCCCACCAGCGCTCAACGCTCACAGAGCCTGGCCATGGCTATTGCAACCATTTTATGGCGGGCCGGCGATAAGCGGAAAGCAGTGGTTGCTTTGTAAGTATAGTCCAAATGCAAGGAAATGGTGGAGTTCCTGGGCTACAAAACTGAGAGGATCCGCTCTGCACTTGTTACTGCCACCCCCTCCTCCACCTCCCTCTCCAGCCTTCACCAATCCCTCCCTCTGCACTTGGAATAATATGGAATAATAATATAATAACAATAATCCTGGCATTTGATACAGCGCCTTATCACGTCTTCGAGATGTCTCAAAGCGCTTCACCGGATATACTGTAAAGTGAATTGAATGTATATTTCGTGGGCGAAACACAGCATCCAATTGCGCACATCGGCGTCCTACAGTCTCTAAATCATGCAGATAAGCTGTCATTCGTAAGTTGCATTTTGCCTGACAGGTGAGAAAGTTAAAATGCCAACAGAATATCCACTGAAGGGAGATTGTACACATTAAGACCGTGTTTCTTTACAAAGGCAATGTTTCTTTCAGGTCAACGGGCAGACAGCAGTTTATCCCCGTGGGAAGATACAAATCTGATGGATCGATAGAAACAGTAAGTTTCCCTTTGTTGTCTCTTGTTCTCAGAGAGACATCTTATCTTTTAGATTAAATATTTTCATTTTCCAAATGCAATTTTTAAAAAAAAATGAAACATGTTATAAATGGGGGGAGTTGGTGAAGAGAGAATCTTATAAAGTCTGCAATTGATAGCGTTTTATACACAAAAGAAAATGAGTAAGTCAACATAACAAGAAGAAATAATAATACTTGCATTTATAGCACCTATCACGTAGTCAAGACGTCTCTAAGCGCTTCATAGGATGTACTGTATGTTTTGTCGGCAAATGTTGCAGGAAATGTCTTTAATAAGCAGACCTTACTTAACGTCTCATCCAAAGGAACAGCACCTCGAACAATGCAGCAAACCCTCAGCACTGCACTGCAATCAGCTTAGACTGTATGAGTTCCAAGTCCCAACATGGGGTTGGAAGCCACAACCATGCGACTCAGCAGCGAGAGTGAGTAAGGAGTTTGAACTCCCAGGCGTGGGGTGGGGGAGAGCACCTGAGGTACTGTCCTTCGGATCAGACGTTCAGGTGGACTTTAAAGATCCGATGATACTTTACAAATAGAGAATGGTGTCCTGGCCAGCAATCCTCCAGATAAAATTGGTCACTCACTAGACGGCCATTTGTGTGACACTACTGGTCACTTACACAGTCACTATAATTTTCAATAAATTCTGTGGAACGCTTTGAGCATCTTTCTGACACGAAAGGCACGTGATGTATCAATTGTAAAGATTAATTATTCATTTCTACCCCACATTTTAAAAACTCTGTTATGTGCAATTAACTATTAAAATGCTTGTGTTATGTGTTTTTTTGCAGCTTATTCTCAATACGGTGACAAACTATGAAGATCTCTCTACATTTGTTCAACAAAACGTTGGCCAGGTTTGACTTATTCAGTATTTGTACATTTGTTTATTGTTATCGCTCTGTCTTAGTTGGTCCTCGTTTTAATGTCTCATCTGAAGGATGTCACCCCCCCCCTGGACGGTGCAACACCCCCTCCAGCACTGCATTGGAGCGTCAGCTTAGCAAGCATGTGATTCCAATTCCCGACGTGGGGCTTGAACCCACAACCTTCTGACTCGGGAGGCGAGAGAGAGCTCTACCAACTGCCTCAGGCAGCTGCCACGCAGAGTAAAGTGTAACGGATTGTAAAATGGAAATTTGGATTTGGATCGGATTGTAAACTTGGCAGTTAGTTTGAACAGAGGCATATGATTTATATATAAAACAAATTGGGAGGTGAGTTTGGATGCGGAGGTAATATAAACCAGGATATCCTAGGAGGAAACATCCACTTCATTTGAATTAGTGTTGGGGGACGGGGAGTGAGTTGCTGTCTGAATCCACTTAAATAGAGCCTTGAGACGTACTCCTGATAAGAAAGACGCGACACAAATGCAATGTTGTTGTAAGTAGCTCCACCTGAGCCACAAGAGAGACGGGAACCGGGACATAATCAGCCCCAGCCTGTAGTGATTAAATAGCTGTGTGAGCTAAAAAGGCCTGAACTCCTCAGCATCACAAACGCCTATCAAACAGGCGAGACTTTATCTTTGAACTACGCTTCTGCTGTGTGTATCTGGCCATATGGTTTGGATTTGATGGAGATAAACATCTGTCCCAAGTTGTGATTTGTTGCGATTCTAGAAAAAATGTGTTTTGAATCCCCAGGGACGGCAACATAGCAAGGTGGTGCTGTGAAGTCTCAAACCCCAAATATCCCTCGGTCTTAGCCTTAGGAGCATTGTTTTAAAAGTTAAGATTGTGCAGGATGGAGTCCCACAGTGTAGTGGTTGGCGCCCTTGCCTCGCAAGCGAGAGCACCCCGGTTTATAATAATAACCCTCGCATTTGATACAGCACCTTATCACGTCTTCGAGGCGTCTCAAAGCGCTTCACAGAATATACTGTGAAGTGAGTTGACCGTATATTTTGTGGGCAAAATTTGGGGCTTTGATTCACAGTCAGGGTGAACCTCAGAAAAAATTGGTCATTCAATCCACAACCGTTTGTGCGACACTGCTGTGCACAATCGGCTGCTGCATTTTTGCCGACAAAATACGCAGACAATCAACCCACTTCACAATATATTCTGTGAAGCGCTTTCAGACGTCTCAACGACGTGATAAGGCGGTATATCAAATGGAAGGACTATTATATTACTGTAGTATTTGAGAATTAACAGTCCCCCCAAATGGCTGTTTGTGGGACATTGCTGTGCTCAAGTTGGCTGCCGTGTTTGCACACTTTACAGTAATTCCCGTGAAGTATTTTGAGGCTGTCTTGGCGATGAGACAAGGTACAAATTTGAATGCAAGTATTTTTAAAACAAAATTTCCCCACATCAATTCAAAGTTTTCCAGACTTTTTTTGTCATTCTGTGTTTCCAGTTTGAGGTTGGACCATTTGGCTGCATTCTTCTGACTCTGTCTGCCATCTTGTCGAGATCCATCGAGCTGTAAGTACCTTCTGCATTAGTTTTGTTCCCCCCCCCCCCCAAAAAAAAAAAGTGATTCCCTCATACAAAGTGTCACAAAGAGGCTTTGCTGCCACTATCTTCTTGGCTCTATATAAACTGTTTTTAAGGTTGCCTGTACCTGTAGAAAAATCTTAGCCCACGGGCAAGTGAAATATGTTTTATAGCCCCAGTTTGATAATCGCTTAGAACAGACCTGTCCACCTGAACAGACACTTGACAGATTCGTATTAAATGCATGAGCAGACCTGTAGCTTTTGACAAACTTAGCTCTTGAGGCCTGAACTTGTTTTGCTCTGTACAGTGAGCGATCGTGTGGGCACTTTGAAGTCAATTCCCTGAGTAGCACAAAAAACGCCATAACATCCAACGTCTTTAGTGTTATCGTAGACACCTTGGATACCCCATTTCTGGTTTATGTTGCCTTATCTATGGGGCCTCTGATTTAGCCCACGTTTCCTGCAAGGGACCACCTGTAACACTTTGGCTTGCCGAGTTAATGGGAGTCAAGCATCTGCTCCTATTGACTGTTGTACCCCTGCTGATGAGCAAGGCTGGCTGGCTGGTCCATCACCGGGGACTGTAGGGTGGCGTTGTCCACAGTCTTGCGTGTTTGGAGCTCTTTATCTGTAAATGGCCTCCAACTGTGCAGTTCAGCAGTTAATGTTTAGCAGAACTGTCAGTATTTGACGATGAGGCGACATATGTAACTGATCTCTCTGCTCCCATCAGCCTGGTGCTGATTGTGCTTTGAAGCCTAGGTGTGAGCGGGTGGCCAGACGTCAGGTGTGATCTGCACAGTGCAGCGGCTTATCATTTACACTAGGCTTTTCTCAGAGAGCGGGTAAGCACGTCACACAAGGGCTTAAGGAGTTCTAGAGAGACTGAGTTGGGACCTGAACAGCTTGGGAGATGGAGTGTGGTCGAAGGCGCAGTGTTCAGCAAGAGAGGTATTTGGTGGCTTTTGAACGCAGAAAAGGAAAAAGCAAAGTGGGGGAGATTCAGAGTTGAGAGAGTACATGTTTGGGGCAAAATGTCTAAATGCTCTCCGATTGTCTCATCGACTGTCAGCACCTCGACACTGCAGTGAGCGCTTAGACTAGACGATCTGACAATGCACAGTTGGGGATCAAGACATCTATAAACAAAGCATCTGAGATGGTATTTTCCGGGCAAGGTATTCAAGCCCCCCCCAAATCAAAGCAATGATCTGAAAAAAAATGTTCAATATGTGAGAGGAGTGTGGGAAAAATGTCGAGGCTTAAAATACCAGAGTACAAATGGTATGATAAACATGTTGAGTTGGTACCCTCTTTGCAAACAGTGGGATGCTTGGACAATTTTCTAAAGGACCACTTTACACAAAACAATCCATTGCAGGTCTGACAACAGCACCGAGCATTTAACTTAAGGTGTTCACAGTTGAGAGCAGAAGGTTGTGGGTTCAAGCCCCACATTGAGACTTGGAATTTGCATAGTACAACCTGATACTGCAGTGCAGGGGGTGGGGGAAGCACTGGCTTGTCCGAGGTGCCAGCCTTTGGATGAGATGTTAAGATGGTTTAATGGCAATTCAGGTAAAATCCATATTGACCTTAAAGAGGGACAGGATAGTTACCTGAAGAAGAGTCAGCTACTGGGGTATGTGGGGAAAGAGCAGGTAAGAGGGACTGAACGGATTGCTCTTGAGGGAACCGGGCACAGACAAGATCGTCTGAATAGCCTCCAGCCTTGCAGTATATTACTATGGTTCTACGCAGTAACAATTTTGATGGGTTATTTATGATGAGGGTTGACATCCTGGATCTTAATTTTTTGAAAATATTTGATGTTAGGAGGTAAAGGATGACATTACTTCCCAGGTTTCACAAAGTGTGAAATCTACTTCCTAACATCAGGCTGCAGAGACACTGGATTAGATAGGCACTGCTGAAGAAATTATTTTACTCTGAAGTTGTCGAAGGAACATCACAACATGTTGGGCTGAATAGCCTGTTTCCACGCTATATCACTCTTTGTAAAATTGCGGTATTCCTAACCCTTCCATTCGTTAATTATTGATGGCTTTTCAATGGTACATTATTTGCTCCTCTTTGGGTCTCATGATGACCCTTTTGGTTAATTTGCACACGGCAACAGCAAATTACATTTGTATAGCGCCTTCACAGACTATACTGAAGCAAATTAACTGTATTTTGTGGGTGAAACACGGCAGCCTATTCTGGCTGCTATATGAAATACAGTCGTTATTATTAACGATTATTATTGCTACCAACTTACCAGGCTCCCTCCCTTCTCTGACTCAGAAGCTTGTGGGTTCAAGCCCCACTTTAGGACTTTGAGCTCAAGGTCTGACAACTGCAATGCTGGGGGATTTGTCAGAAGTGCCGTACTTCAGATGAGACATTAAACTGAGGTCCTGTCTCCTGTCTTCCTGTTCAGGTAGAGATTAAAGATCCCATGGTACGATTGGAGAATCCCCCCCCAAATAAAATTGTTCATTCACTCCATGGCTGTTTATGGGACATTGCTGTGTGCAAAGTGGCTGCTGCATTAGACACAGTCACCGCACTTTACAGTAAATCCTGCAAAGCACTTTGAGATGTGAAAGGCGCTATACAAATGTAATTTCTTGTTTCGACAACATGATAAGGCGCTGTTTCAAGTGCAAGGATTATTAATTCCACAATAATTTCAGCTTGCTCGTGAGCTTTTTCTATCTGTTAATAGTAATTTATCTTATGTGCGAGCGAGTCCAACTACACGGTAGGTGAAGATCTCAAAGTCCACGGGTCAGTGGTTGTGGAAATGGGATGCAATGCTGCTATTAACCTTGGGTTAGATTCATTGTGTTACAGGATTTCCTATTATTGTGCACATTCATAGGACAAAAATTGTCTGAAAATATAGATGCTTCCCATTTCATAGGGACTGAGAATGCCTGGTACATCAATTCCCACACATTGTAACTCAATTCTGGATAATGGTACAAATCCCATGGAAACGATATCATTTTGTTGAGATGAGATTGGTGGATGAGTTGTAAGGTGCCCGGGATATTGTAAACAATAACCCTTCTGTTTGGAATAGCACATTGTCGCATTGTCTAGATGTCTCAAATTGCTTCACAGGATATACTGTGACTAATGTGTATTTTGTGGGCGAACATGGCAGGCAATTTATCATAATAATAATTAATTGCATTTGATATCTCCTTGTCGCGTTGTTCAGAGGTCTCAAAATAAATTGACTGTATATTTTGTGGGTAAAATATAGCAGCCAATTACACATAGAAGTGTCCCACAAACGGTTGTGGAGTTATAAAATGGGATTATTACGGAAAAGCTATCCATCAATTGCCTAACAACCGGATTCCTACTTACTGCTATGTAAACAGAGGGCGTGTGGAGTAAGGAGACATGTCTAAGGTTTTGCCTCACCCGGGAATCAAACCTGGGGCCTTTCGCTTGTGATGCTAGCATACTAACCACTATACTACAGGATAGTAGGATTTTGAACACTAATAATAATTATTAGTGACCATAAGCATGGTCGAAAAGGAAGGTTTTCAGGCGGGACTTGAAAAGGGGGAGCGAGTGGGGCAAGGCGGAGGGATTGAAGAAGAGCTAATTGCAGATGTACGAATGATCTGCAGCTTGTGATGGGAACCTGTGATGATATTACATCACACCATTCGGAGGGAATCGGTATTTCTGCAGGCTATTTCTTCTGGGAGGAAGAGGAAAGTTGTAAACATGACCCAATGTTGTTGATGTACGGCCAATAAAGTGACCAGGGTCAGATTTCGGGAAACTGCGCTGAATTTAATCTCTTTACAGCATGGCTCTGGGTTCACTGAATTCCACTCAGGGCTGTTTTCGACATGAGCGTTTAATAATAATAATAATCCTTGCCTTTGATAGCGCCTTATCACACCTTTGAGACGTCTTAAAGCGCTTCAAAGGATATTACTGTAAAGTGAATTGACTATATATTTTACATCACAGCAAAGGCATTTTCCAACAACCGCTGTCCACACTTTGGCCATGTTAAATGCTTTTAGCGAGATCGCTAACGAAAAGGTGTCAGAGAGTGGAATGCCTGAAAAGGATATTGAGGCAGAAATGCCTTGGAATGCCTGAAATTCCAATAAATCAAGCTATGGTCTAAACTTTTAAGTTGTTGCAGAATTGTGGAAAATGCTAATTTCAGGTCTACCATCAAACTGTGTCAGATTTGTTGTTGTTGTGATTAGAGAGCACAATACCCGGATGTTTTTAATGAATCCCAAGGTTCGCTTACACAATGGGTTGTCAAAGCGTGCAAAGTTCGGCAGTAAAATAGCCCCGTTTCTTTGCCTGTATTGAAAAGGAGGGAATCGGTATTTCTGCAGGCTATTTCTTCTGGGAGCAAGAGGGAAGTTGTAAACATGTCATGTCCTACATCACCCAATGTTGTTGATGTACAGCCAATAATGTGACCAGAGTCAGATCTTGGGAAACTGCGCTGAATTTAATCTCTTTGCAACATGGCTCTGGGTTCACTGAGTTCCACTCAGAGCTGTTTTCTACATAAGCATTTAATAATAATAACAATAATAATAATCCTTGCATTTGATGCAGCACCTTATCACCTTGAACTGTCTCTAAGCACTTCACAGAATATTACTGTAAAGTGAATTGACTATGTATTTTGTGAGCGAAATGCAGCAGCCAATTACGCACAGCAGCGTCTCACACACAGTCATGCATTGACTGACCAATTTATTATTTTTTTTAAGGAATTATTACCCCCTGAAAAGCAATAAATTTGTGAGCAAGAAAGAGCCCATTGGCTCAGTTGGTAGCTCTCTCACCTCTGAAACAGAAGGTTGTAAGTTCATTAGTATGTTTCGCCCACAAAATACAGTCACTCCGCTTCACATTATATTCTGTGAAGCGCTTCGAGACGTCTCAACCACCTCTTCTGGCCTGTGTTCTTCC